GCCGTCGACGCCGATGAGGGCCGCCGGCGACGAGAGGACAACACGGTGGATATTCGAAAGAGCAAGCGAGAGGAGAATCTGATGAAGAAGCGGAGAGAGGGGATGCAATCGCAAGCGTTCTCTCAGTACTCGGCGGTCGAGGATAAGGTAATCGGTTGTTTAATAGCTAGATTTGTTCGTTTGGGGGTTGGATTTGTGATTTTAGGGTCTTGAGGTGTTCTTAGGGTTGTTTGATGGTTTTTTTTGGTAATAGGTTACGCTAGAGAGCTTGCCGGCGATGGTGGCGGGAGTTTATTCGGAGGATCCGAAGGTGCAGCTTGAGGCGACGACGCAGTTCAGACAATTGCTGTGTATAGGTACGGCATTTGTTGAATTTTTTTATTTGATGATTTTGATGTACCCTGTCATCAATTTACTTAGGCCAGTTATAACTTTATCCTAATTTTATGGATACATCATGAATTTAGATTGTTTCAAGATCATCGGGCACAATTTTTGTTCTCATCTAGTGGATTTTAGCGGCTAATTTGGTTAGTTAGTTACATCAGTTATATATTTTTTTTCCAGTGCATTGAATCATGAATTAATTATAAAAGATTGGAATTCCATTATAACAATTTTCTTTGCTTGAGAAGTTTTCTAAACTCCTTGTAATACACTTGTACACAGAGAGAAGTGTGTGGTGAGAGACGGGGTCAATTCCAAGAGGAGTGAGGTCGATAGTAAAGCCTAGAGAGGTGATAATTCCGAGCACTTGAGGAAAGCGACACGAGATAGGCCAACACTTAGAGGGTGTAGAGTGTGATTGCAAGAGTGTGAGTTGTGAAAGTTTTCGGTGAGCTAGAAAACCAAGATTGTGAGGTGTAAACGTTTTCTGTGAACGTCGAAAACCCGTTGTGATAGTGGATTCTCCCCGGTAGTGGGGAGCGGAGACGTAGGTCGGAAGGACCGAACTCCGTGATCATATTATTTGTTTGATTGTCTCATTACGCACTATCTCATTTGTTTAGTAGTTCATGTTTATATCGGCCTTGTTTAATTCCATATACTTGCTGATATCTCATTGAATATCATACTTGTTTATAAATTAATAAGTTTTAAATTAGCATTAATATCGGATTAGATTAGCATATACCCTATTCACCCCCCTCTAGGGTAATTTCAAAGATGTCTATACAAAAGTAGGTAATAACAACACTGAATAAACACAGTAAAGACAAAGAGAACAACACACAATGATTTAATGTGGTTCGATCAGTATGACCTACGTCCACAGACGAGAACAACAGAAACTTCACTAATCACAAAAGAGAAGATTACAAAGGGAGATCACTTTAATATCTCACCAAACTCATACAAAGAAGAGAACACTCAAAACTCTCTTTTTGTTCTCTTCAACTCTCTCTTTCTTTTTTCTCTTTGTTCTGGATTTCTGCTCAATGCACTAACCCTTCACCACTTTCCTCTATTTATAACCTTCAAAAGGGTTGGTGGAACAGTAATAGGGTTGGTGAGTTGAATTCAAAGTCAAATAATATTTCTATTGTGTTGTTTGCTAGAATGTGTTAAGTGTTTTGAAATGATTGTGTATAATAGAGACGGTACGTAGAGATTTGAGCAGCATTTAATGTTCGTGTGAAATGACAAAACTTCCCTTATGTCTTTAGTGAATTTGAAAGACAATTTCTTTCTTTCCTTCAAAATTTTTCTACCCTGAAAAAGTCTTTAATAAATTAATATAATAGTATAGATGTTACTTGACCAGCGAATATCTTTGGTGTTTTGTTGAGCATCTACTTTAATATGTTGATTTTGGAAACATAGTTAATGTTTTTTTGGTATTTGTTAGTTAAAGTTTTTGATATTTGTTAGTATTTGGATTTTTACTCTCTTTGATAGAAAGCAGCCCACTAATAAAGGAGGTTATCCAGGCCGGTGTTGTTCCTCGTTTCGTGGGATTTCTTCTAAGGGAGGATTACCACCAACTTCAGGTCTTCTTTGGTTTTGTATATATGACTTTCGTCCATACAAATTTTATTCAAACTAAATTTAAATGTTTATTTAGTTTGAAGCTGCTTGGGCGCTTACCAACATAGCATCTGGTTCATCAGAGAACACCCAAGTTGTGATTGATCTTGGGGCTGTTCCAATATTCATCAAGCTGCTTAGCTCCCAAAGCGATGATGTCCGTGAGCAGGTATATGAGTTATCTTTATTTGGTTATTGAGTTCCTGTTATCTTTTAGTTAACTATATTATTCGTATAATTATTCATAAGACTGAATGGTGTAGCATTTTTTTAATTTGTATTTAACTACTCTCGGAACTTTAAGTTATGGCTTTTTAATGTTACAAAATAAGATGTAACCTGAGTTTATCTTTTTATTTACTTATTGAATTTCTGTTATCTTTCAGTCTATACCATAATATTCCTAGAATTGTAGTTAAACAACATGGTCTAGCAGTTTTTTAATTTATACTTAAGTACTTTATCTGTACTCTTTGTTTGTAGTTCTGCTTGTATTGCTTGTAGTTTCTTTTTTGTAGTTTTGCTTGTGTTAACAACATGCAAAATATTCGTACAGTGATTTTGTATTCCCAGTATAATTTGGGTTTCATATATGAGTTTACTGACAGTGATATGTTGATTTCTGTGTGGCATTTGCGTCATGCTTTTGATTTTTTTTTTAAATTCCATTTGATGCAGTTACCTGATAATGTTTTGTTTTTAAGAAGCAGTAATGATGTGATCTCGTTTTGATGTTTTTATTCCTCCTTTCTATTGCAAAATCCAGGCATTATGGGCATTGGGCAATATAGCTGGCGATTCACCAAAATGCAGAGACCTTGTCCTCGCAAATGGGGCATTGCACGCCCTCCTGGCTCATTTGAATAACCGTTCTAAGCTCTCAATGTTGCGGAAAGTGACATGGACTTTGTCCAATTTGTGTAGGGGGTATCCCAGACCAGCTTTTGAGCAGGTTTGCTGTTATGATTGTATTACTATATTTAGTTCTGAACGCGGTAAAAATGTTTCTATAGATGCTTTTTGGCTGGCATTTTTATGCAGATACGACAAGCTCTTCCAGCCCTTGCATATCTTATTCATTCAAATGATGAGGAAGTTCTTACTGATGCATGTTGGGCACTTTCTTACTTGTCTGTGGGCACAAATGACAAAATCCAAGCTGTAATTGATGCTGGCGTTTGCCCTCGGCTTGTGAAACTTCTATTGTATGTACTAGTCTTTGTTAAGTAACATATTTGGTTCCTTCAAGGTATCTCTTATGGGCCCTGATGCTCTTGTTGATGGCACGGTTGGTAACATAGTTACTGGTGATGATGTGCAGACGCAGGTATACAAGAAACACAAATAAGTGTCTGCACTGGATATTATCTACTTGGTTTAGTTGGTGAATGCATGTTTATGGATCTAATAATTCTATGGATCTTGTTCGGGTGGTTAGCATCAGAGGATATTATCTGCTTCCTTCAGTAGGTGAATGTTTTTTTTTATGCTAAAAAGTTTCCATATCCGAGGAAATATTTGTATACATTAGGATAAGTATATAGTTACCAAAATCTATATCCAATAGGATACGGTTATAGATACGGATATGTAGTGAAATATCTGGATCTGTGTTCGTACTATCCAAGCATGTGCTGGTCATGCAATTGTAACTATTTTTAATTTTTTATCCCTAGATTAATGGGTTTGAGGTTAATTTTGATGATCAAGAGATCTAATCTTAGCTTTAAAATATAATAAACATATTAATGAACTCTCTTATATCATATGAACTATATTTTTTCTAGTATCATCTAGTTTTCTCATATCTATTTTATATTTGCATGTATATCCACTTATACATCCACGTGTATATCCATATCATATCCGCCTTTAGTGAATATGGATATGAATTTTCCTTATCGAGATATATCATATCCATATCCGTAATGGGTAAGCAGATACGGATATGATAAGTATCATATCCGTGCCATATCCAAATCGTTTGCACCCTTAATTTTTGTGGATCTCATAATGCTATGGATATTGTTTGGGTGGTAAACATCAGATTTTTTTTTCACACGCCTATTCAGATATATCTCAAATAAGTACTTTATTAATTCTTGAAGTACTATGACTTTCATGTATGCTGATGGATCTTTTCGGATTTGAAAAGTTCAGCATTTTTTTATTTACATAGCTAACCAATGAACACAAAATGGAAATAAATTGCGATGTTTACATCTATGCTTCAAGTAATTTTACTTCTTTATGTGGCTCTCTGTCTATTTGCTATTTTGAATTTATAAAATGCAAATGTGTTCAGTATAACTTAGGATTCCAGTATAACTTGAAGAACTATACATAGACAAACTTGGGATTTGCAATCCCAGGTAAGATCGGTTCAGGATCATGGGATCCTTTTTTATCAGATAGGAAGGGCTGTTGCACAAAATGTACTTCTAAGTAATTGCCCTATAGATCCTATATCTATCTATATGGTAAATTCTGCATTTTATCAATTCAATTGGTCAGCTATTGATTGCTTAAAACATTGTGTGATTAGTGCAATAGTTTTACCATTTGTATATGCCGTAGAGGACCTTTTGGATGTGTGTTAAGATGTTTTGCTTTTCTTTCCTTCATAATGTTCTCTAGAACTGAACCAGAACTGTGTATAGTAAAAATTACTTGAAATAGTTTATGAGGCTTTATTAGGCCTTTTAAAGCAAGCAGCACTTATTCAAGAAGATTCTTAAACACTTGAACAATGAAATTTCAGCATTACATTGTATATAATTAGCTTATTATATACCCTTTTAGATTTATGCCACCAATCTTTCAGCTATTTCATGATATGCTCAATATGTTATTTGCTCAGGTCATTATCAATCATCAAGCACTTCCTTATCTTCACCGACTTTTAATAAACTACAAGAAAAACATCAAGAAAGAAGCTTGCTGGACCATTTCAAACATAACAGCTGGAAACGAGGATAAGATACAGGTACGTCCTTTGTTGATCAGGATTAGAATTCCATGGTTTCTTGCATCCATAAAAATCAAAAAGGCATATAATTGTATATCAATCATGTTATTTGAATTGGTGCTGAAATCTTTTAATCAGGATTCATACTCAAAACTTATTATTTCCTTGTGGTTTGTTTTACAGGCTGTAATTGATGCAGATATCATTGATACTCTTGTCCTTTTACTGCGAACTGCTGAATTTGATATTAAAAAAGAAGCAGCATGGGCCATCTCAAATGCTACATCTGGTGGTACACATGATCAACTGAAGTATGCACACTGCTGTGGCTTTTATGTCAATATGAGGAGTACCTGATTTATCTTTCTCCTTTACTATGGCTATACAGGTTTCTAGTCAGCCGAGGCTGCATTAAACCCTTGTGTGATCTTCTTGTTTGCCCAGACCCATTAATTGTCAGGGTTTGTCTTCAAGGACTTGAAAATATTCTGAAAGCTGGTGAAGCTGTGAAGAACCAGGGAACCACTGGAGGTGTGAATTTCTATGCTCAGATGATTGAGGATGCTGACGGTGTAGAGAAGATTGAGAATCTCCAGAGCCATGATAACACTGAAATCTATGAGAAAGCTATGGAAGTCCTTGAAACTTACTGGTTGGAAGAAGACGAAGCTGAAGTAAGATCCCATAGAGACGCAGCTCAAACTGGAGTCAACTTTGGTTACACAGAGATTCAACTTCCTTCTGGTGGGTTCAACTTCAGTTGAATGGTAAGATATCTTTAGATGGTTCTGTCAGTTATTACTACATAAATCATCAATATATATAAATTACCCTCCAAACTGATATTCATCAAAATGCCCCCCAAATCTTAAACTTGTGAGGGAGAGTTACAATTCGAAATCTCTCCCAATTAGACTTAACCGATAATTGACGTTTTAATGTTTGCGGTAGAAATATCCGAAGTTTAAGATTTTGGGGGCATTTTAATAAATATCAAGATTTAGGCTGTGTACGCAACCAAAAAATCCTAGTTTTTTTTTCCTTCACCTGAACTGTGTTGCAGTTTATAATTTACGTAGCATACAAAATTGTGTCTAGTAGTTGGAACTGGTGTTGAGTTTATTCACGGCTTGTCAGGGTAGACTTTACTTGATGACCTATGTCTCACTCTGATAATCATTTGGGTTCATTGTCAAACAATACAACCAAGAAAAGCTCATTTCACTTGCAACCTAATGGGATGCTCAGGTGTGCAGGGTCTTTGTTCTTGAGATGCTGAAGGATGCCGTCACTAGTCCTATGGTGCTGTGGCTCTCTTGGCCAAAGCCAGGAAGAGTCACGAAAAGTCGTGTCATGTCGGTTTGGATCCTGTATCAGGTGTGGGTCAAGTTCCGGGATCGGTTGTTTTGGGGTTTGGTACAATATAAAAGAGGATGATTTCTAATGATCGTTTGTTATCTGAGTTGTGGTGGTGCATGCAATGACTGATGGATAGCCTGCTTGAAAATATCTTCTACTTTCAGTTCATATCTGTTTGAAAGAAAGTGGTGAAAGAATTTGAAGACATACGTAACACGTTCTTACAGGTGATTTATGTACAGTTAATGTTTTTTCTTCTGAATTTTCCTTCAAAAGAGTTTTATACATGGTTACTATATTTCTTGAAAATGTTTGAATGCCGTAATGGGAGTATATGATTTACAATTCATCTCTCTAATCGACAAGAATTTAAGGTTGCACTCATAATGCAAAGGTCATAAAAGGTAAAATGTGGAACTATACTTTCGTGTCATGTTTGTTCTTGGCCTGAACTGGCTTCAGTATGGTGTGATGGTTGCTGAGAATTTGTACATTGATTCTTGAATTCTTTTATGCACACGGATCACAAAGAACTTCTAGAGCTTCTGCCTGCCTGCCTCCAGTCTCAATACCCAAAGTGCACATACCATGCCATTTTCACCAATTATTACCGTTTTCTAACAAAATTATTGTTTGCAAGGCTAATTCCTATTAACAAGTTTTGATTCGAAGTGTGTTGTTCTTTTGTGCAAAGATACCGATTTCTACTCATGTTGCTATTGCTAGAATAGTAATAATATGCCCTTGAACATCCAATACATTTTATGTAATATTTTTGAATATTAATAAATATTTTATTATTGCATATATAATTTGGATATCATTTCTATAATTGTTATAGTATCTTTAGAAATTATTTTGTTAGATTATGTACTATGATGGTCACTTACTTGGAGATGTGATCTAACTAGGAGATTTCTTAAATTTGTGTATAACCTATAACTAGTAAATGATAACTTTGTTATAAGATGTTGTTATGTATGACACCGACATGTGAGATGTGGTGGTGGGTCTCAATCACCATGAATGAGGATTCTACAGGTGTATGTCATAAGCACGCATTGTGATGCGTGTAGCAATAGAGCGCATTTGGATTTCTCTAAGATGAGTCACTTAAGAGATAGAGAATTTAAATTATTACATGGTCCCTTTGACTTGATGATATTGTCATTTATGATTTGATAATTTAGTATGCTTTGACGTGATGGTTAAGCTTGTTTAGCAAGCGCGACACAACCTAAAACATTGCGTTATTAGATTTTATTTAGGGAAATGATGGATATCTAAATAGGATCCAATATGCTCATTATGATGAGTTAATTTATTATGCATTCCCGTGAAGTTATTAAATTCCTGTCGGTGGGTGGTTTTGAAAAATATTTTTTACTTTTTAAATTTTATTTTATTTTTAATAAAGAAAATATTTTAATGTTGCAAAATAATTTTTATTTATATTCGTGGAAATTGTAATTTAGGCATGAGCAAGTAGGTGAATTATCCTGCTCGATAAAAATTGTCTAAAATAAAGGATATTGGATGGTACTGAATGTAAAATATTATTTATAAATAATTAATCTCATATTATCGAAGAGTTTTTATGAACAGTTGGTCGAATAGGGATTTCACTGTTAAATTAAAATTATTAATGTGATTAATAATTGGTTATCAATATAGCACCCAATTGGCCTGAGAATTTCATTATAAGAGGTTTACAGACAATACATATTTTATTCTATCCTTAGTTGTTATGGATAGAGTTTTTGGACAATTCCGTTCTATTTTTAATTGTTATGAATTGAATTTTGAATAATTATGAATTGTTCAAAATTAAAATCTATAAGACTAGTCTAATCCTATATATATAGTTCATATGTAGCCTTATGGAGATACAGAAAAATCTTATGAAGATGAAATGAAGAATAGAATAGAGAAAATAGAAAACTAAGAACTCATCTCTCGGTATTGCTCTTCGGTGACGGGTGGATTTCAGCTGGAGACTTTTTCTCTTGAGGAAGCTTTGAAATTTTTCAGGTAGATATTAGGAGTGTTAGAATGAGGGTGAAGATCAAACCTCATTTCCGACGAGGAGCTCCGACGAGCTCCGACGAGTTCGATGGTCGCAGACGAGCTCCGGCGAGGTCCAGGTGACAGGCGGCGAGGTCCAGGCGAAGGCGAGCCCTGCGTCACAGCGATGCCCAACTGTGCGTTCGGCGAGCTCTGCGTTCGCCTGCCCCCTCCCCGAGCTCTGCGTTTGGCGAAGGCCAACTCTGCGTTCGTGCGAAGCTGGCGTCGAAGCGAACTGTGCGTTCGTTCGGATTTGGCGTCGAAGCGGTCGCTGGCGACAGGCTGTCGCCAGCTCATCCAGCTCTCCTCTCTGCCTATAAAAGAAACCCAGGCTAGGGTTTTGGGGCTGCTTGCTTCTCCCCCTCTCCTCCGATTTCTTCCCTTGGTGGCGGCGGCGATCTGCCCTAAAAATCGCAGAGGCGATTTTCTCCAGCGCTCAGAGCTTCGGGATTTTGAGGGGAGATGTAGCTATAGTGTTTATTTGAGAAATCCCAGTTTAGGGATCTGCTCCTAAAATTGTAATTTCTTGTTTGATTAATAAGAAATTATCTGTGTGGCTCCCGAGGACGTAGGCAGTTGCCGAACCTCGTTAAACTTGGTGTACTGTTCTCTATACCGCGTTTTCCGTTGCATTAGGGGATTTAGGCGTTAAATTCCCAACAACTGGTATCAGAGCGTGAAACGACCTAGAACAAGTCAGATTCAAGTGGGAGCCATGGCCACAGATGAGGCAAAAATGAGACTTAAGAAATTTGATGGAACAGATTTCGGATTCTGGAAAATGCAGATAGAGGATTATCTGTATCAGAAAAATCTGTATCAACCACTATCGGGGAAGAAGCCAGATTCTATGAAGGAAGAAGAGTGGAACCTTCTAGATAGACAAGCCCTCGGAGTTATCAGATTGACGTTGACTCGCAATGTTGCGTTCAACATAGCGAAGGAGAAGACCACGGCAGGTCTTATGGCAGCACTCTCAAACATGTATGAGAAGCCATCAGCCGCGAACAAAGTTCATTTGATGCGGCGGTTATTCAATCTGAAAATGGCGGAAGGCGCGTCAGTAGCACAACACCTCAATGAACTTAATACGGTTACAACCCAATTGAGTTCAGTTGAGATTGAGTTTGATGAAGAAGTTCGGGCGTTGATATTGTTGTCTTCCCTACCAGAGAGTTGGAACGCTACAGTCACAGCTGTGAGTAGCTCGTCGGGAAACAATAAGTTGAAGTTCGACGACGTTCGTGATTTGGTTCTCAGTGAGGAGATCCGACGGCGAGAGACTGGTGAAGCTACAACCTCTTCAGTATTGCATACAGAGTCAAGAGGTAGAAATTCAACCAGAGGAAACGGACGAGGAAAATCAAACTACAGAGGTAGATCAAAGGACAGGAGGTCCAAATCAAGGAATCCAAGCAACAGCTCGAAGGCTATCGAGTGTTGGAATTGTGGAAAGACCGGGCATTACAAGAATCAGTGCAAGAGCGCACAGAAGGAGAAGGAAGCGAAGGCAGAGGTCAATGTCACCTCCACTTCAGGAGGAGACGACGCATTGATATGCTCTTTGGAGAGCAAGGAGGAATCTTGGGTGTTAGATTCAGGAGCGTCGTTCCACGCTACTTCTCAGAAAGAATTCTTCGAGAAGTATACCCCCGGAAAACTTGGATACGTATATCTTGGTGATGATCAACCATGTGCTATTGTGGGCAAAGGCGTGGTGAAAATTAAGTTGAACGGGTCAGTATGGGAGCTGAAGGATGTCAGGCATATTCCCGACCTGAGAAAGAATTTAATATCCGTAGGCCAGTTGGCTGGCGAAGGATACACCACAACAGTTAGCCGCAGACTCCAAATCCGCTATCTCCTTGGAGCGGGTTTCCTGTTCCAGGGCTTCCTGACGCCCGAAGTGAGCTAGACAGGATGCCATTTTAGCCTCCGGACCTCCCCGTAGCAAGTCCTCTAGCACCATCATGCGTGGCTCCAAGAGACGGAGTTCACGCACGCAACGGGTAGCGAGACGGTTTTCACCTGATCGCCGTAAATCGGCCACGCGATCATAGAGGGACTGCCTAAAGCTGTCAAAGATACCCATACCGAGTTCGACGAGGGAAATTGCCTGCCTTACAGCACCTTCGAACTCTTCAATACGGGTCTGCCATGGTTGAGACTCGGAGGGAACAGACCTCTGGCCTGGAGCAAGCGTCGTGATGGGAGGAATTTCGAGGCAAGGTTCGGCTCCCGGCTGGGGAGCGGGATCCGGAGCAGCGGAGTTCGCACGGCCTTCAGATTCGTCGTCTGAAATCAGAATGGGATCGGCCGCATGCTCCTCGGCAGCCGGCACCTCCTCTCGACCTGTAAGACGCAACAAGCGATACAGGGAACAGTTGGGGGAGGAACACCTACTAAACTCACACGAAAGTCGAAGCAAGAAGATACCTTCAGCCGCGACGGCTTCGGCAGCACCTGAAGAACCAGGCTCTTTCCTTTTCTTGGAAACGACTCTCTTCACCTTCGGCGCCATTGGGAGTATGAGGAAGAAGAAGTTCGGGTTTACTCTGAGGAGGACGATAGGCCCTCTCGAGGAAGAGTTAGGGTGTTAAATACCCTAAGAGTCCTAGGCGGTTACTCAGTACTTGATTAGACCGTTCAGGATTAAAGCAGCTAAAGAGCAAGACCGAACGGATCGGATCTGGACGGACAAGATCTGGCAGTTCCTTGAGCACGATCTTCAACAAACGGCTCAAATCGGACGTGGGGAACGAAGAGGCCCACTACCTCGCATTTAATGCGAGGCGGCTATCCCACGTCTCCCTAACCGGCATACACGTGGATTAACACGTGGCCCACTAAAAGCGTAACCCGATCGGAGTCAGGATCGCCATTAGCATTTGCAAATCCGCCTGCGGGCCGAATTCGCCTGCAGTCGAAATAAACCTACAGCGCAAACCAATCGATGATAATCCCGCTGCAGTTGAGGTCCTCTTGCGGCCAGATTCTGACCAATGCATGGTTACGAAAATGGCACACGCACACAAGTGACAATAGGCCAAAAACAAAAGGGATAATTTCATTCATGAAAAAGAAGT